TTCATCCAAACTTGCGCAACTCAGAACTGTCGCCTCGGTTCTAGGCAATTGGCTGAATTGAAAGTCCTTAAGCTTATTGGCTTATGGCCGCTTATTGGCCTGTGCAGGCAATCTGGCAGACAAGGTTTGGGTCTGCCCTCGCCCCACGGTCATCGAGTTTCAAGCTTACAGCATCAGCTGTCTGAACGATGATTTCTGCGGCGCTGCCCAGCATTCCCGAGTTTAAAGATTGCTGGTCAGATCGCACCTGGCCTGTGGCCATGTCTGGGAGCTTACAGATTGGAAATTTGCATCGGCAATTGCAGTTCTAAACCTACAGGTAGTACTTTTGAATACTCTTGGTAGGTCAGCTCGAGATGCGAGGTACACACTTGTGTTTTTGGCATGGCTTCGTGGGGTGGATCGTTTAGATACTGTATTGAAATCCTGAATTGGCGACTGGAAGCATGTTGGAAACAGCTGGACGCCTTTGCGTGTTTCAACGAAAGGTTTGAGCGCAGAGCGCTGCGGATTTCAAAGTCATCGCAGAAGCCACCAAGCCGGGCTGCAACAACTCGTCCTCTCGTCCTCTCGGCTCTGGAAGCCGTTCATGGACTGGACTGGCACTTGCTCAGAGGGGGTCTCTTGGAAGACGAATCCGCAAGCCTAAAGGCCTGTAAAGATCCAGAGACCTCGGCAAGGAAAGACAAAGTTGTAAGCTTCGGATTTGGTGAAGCTACGTTTTCGTAAGCCTCAGCAGTCACCATTGATGAGCTGTCGGCTTGCCAGCCGGCCTGGCTGCAGCAACATCTATGTCAAACGAAGCAATGCAACGCATGTGAGCCGGCCGACTTGTCCTAACTGCCAGCGGCGTCTAGGCAGAAGAAGAGCCCCAGTCTTTTCTACCTGATTGAAGGATATGCCAATTCGAGAACCATCCGCCATTCGCGAAAAGTGCAAAAAGGAGACCGACCACATAGGGTCTGCCCGCGTGTCACATGCGAAGTGTTCAATCCGTGTTGCACCCACAGTTTTCATTCTCGAGGCGGTGAGCCTCAGCACTCGGGTTTTCGATCTGGCGCTGGGTGGTCTCCGCAGCACCAGCAGGACGGGGCATGCTTCAGGTTGGCAGTCTTTGCTTAAAGAGGAAGGTCTTGCCAATAATGCGATCAATGAACCCGTGTCGGAAGTCTGCCCGGAACCGTCGCGATTAGGTTGTCATGTGTACAAGAAGTAGTATTTCAGAAGTCGAACACCAAACTAATCTCGCTTGTCGTCTCAGTCTCACGAGCTTGCCGATCACTGCGTTTGCAATCAGGATACGGGATGCCTCCGCCTGGATGCTGGCCAAGTTCTTTGTACGGGGTGATGTGAGTGACTCCGGATTGCTGCAGCTGGGCACCCAGACGAGGGCCGTGCTAGGGATGGCCCAGGTTCACGCGGAACCGAAGGGCACCTGTGGGATGCTTTGTGTGCCTACATCTGCTTTTGGAGGTCCTTCGTTACCTGGACAAGACAATGCTGGCCGGTCACGGGCGAGCCATGCCCTTAGCAATGCCGGGATCTTTTGCAATAAATCACTTGTTGTTCGTGACTGCCTCCGTGCCCGGAGGGCACTTTGCATCGCCAGACTGGTCAGCCTTGGCGAAAGAAGGTTTGGACAGTCGCTCTGTTCCCGTTGTTGCCGTGAGCTGCCACAGTGCCTGAAGCCACGAGAGGCGGTTTACGCAGTGAGCTCTATTCAACTCTTCCTCTCACGACACGACTACTCACACGTAATCCAGCGTAGTTACAGGTTCAAGAAGCACACATGCGCGGCGACACTTTCTTCAACGTTCGCGCCGGTGCTAACAATACCATGTCATGGACCAAAGTCCTGACGCCATGACGCACTCCAAGCTGCGGCTTCATGATCTGGGGCGCCGGACTGCGGTTGCCCAAGGCTGGATGACCTTTGGGTTTTACACGCCAACAGAGTGTCATGGCCTGTCTCTCTTCGAGGCCCTTCGACAGCTTCTGCATTGCCTGATCCGAACGCGGCGGCGGCAATTCATACTGCTTCTGTCGGCCGTGTTGCTCGCTCGTTCTATTGAGAGGTGAGCGAGCTCACAGCAATGGTATTTCAGAAGATCTTCAGACTGCCTCGAGGCTGGTCGGCAGGCACTTCTTCCAGCAGCGCGTGCAGAACTTCAAGCCGTCGCTTCTCGTGCCGAGGGCACAGCGACGCGGTGAAGGCACGCCGCAAGTGTGCGAATTCAAGGGATGAAGATCTACTGCCAGAAGCGATGGAAAACGCGGTGTAGAGGCAAGAAAGCATCCGAAGGCGGAAAAAAAGAGGCCCTCTGGCTGCATTTTCGGTATGTCGACGCTGCATTCCTCGATCTCTCGTGCTGTCGTGACAGAGCCGAAAAGCACATCTCCAAGTTGATATTCTTGACAAAGCATGTGACACGACGTCACGAGGTCTCGACCGAGTCGGGCGATGCCGAGCTTCGAAACGCTTTCTGCTGCGCGGCTGCATATGCCCGATTGACGTCTGACTGAGGGGCTTGCTTAGGACGCTTGTGGCTGGTCTGAGCTGTGGGCAGTGGTCAATGCAAGAAGGGGGTCCCTCCCCAAACCAAAAAAAGGGGCCTCAACAGTGTTTTTCTTCTCTGGGGGCGGGCTCCGGATTTGTAGTCAAGAGTAAGAGTAGGAGTAACATAGCTTTAATAGAGATAAATTCTGTTATTTCGGAAGCCCGGCTGGGGACTCCAATACGCGTTGTTGGGTTCTCAATAATTCAATATAAGATTTTCAAGCTTTGCAGGCCGCGATGCTTGTAGCAAGCAAATCGCAGTTTTCAGATTTCATGTGGCCGAGGTGCTTTGTTCCGGGCAGCTGGGGAGCGCTGTGGCCGAGGTCTTGAGCCGAAGATGTTCTGAGTACGTGTCAAGGAGATAAGTCCTTGTCACCTTTCTCTTCCCGTTGGTGCATGGTCGCTGGTATAGTCTTGGCTCAACGGCAAAGCACATGCCCGTGCCCCTCCATGCCCCGTCAGGCCCACAGATCTCGGCCAAGATGCGCTCTGGCCGCGAGTGCGGCTTGGCAATGAAGACGTGGCGGTATATAGATGCATCTCTTGTGGAACTTTTGGCATCTCCTTTGTCTGCGGAGGCTACCTTCGCTGCTTCGCAGAGCAACGTTTTGCGCAGCTGCGGGCGGCGTCTGGGCGAGCACATGCGAGAGCACATGCGAGCAGCAGGCAACCCTCTTGTCCCCTTTTTTTTTCAGTCTTTCGATGTTCTTTGCGAGAAACGTGGATGATGAAGAGATAGAAGCACCGACTGCAGTCTGCATGCTACGGGTGTATGAGAAGCTGCGAGGATGCCTTGCCTCGAATCGAATCAGTTTGGCACATCGGCAGCAGTAGCGAGCTGACGACGGCCTTGTTTTTGCCACCCCTCGCCGATTCATCACACGATCGGTGTTCAAAACGTCTCCGGAGATTCCGTAAGTAGCTCAGGCTGCACGGTTCACGGGAGTACACACTGTTGAACCACTTCACTGAGGACTGGGGCCTCGGCGAGGAGCGCTATTGGGCAAGCTTGGCCAACAGCGGGCTGCGTGGTGGCATCCAGGACGCGCTGCTTCTCTGTTGCTTCTGTTCTAATGGGACGGAGGGTTCAAGTAACAAGGGCGGGGGGGCTGTCTTGGATGATTTGGGGATGAGCACAGTGTCGGAAAACCGCTTGTTTGCAGCCAGGCTTTAGTTGGGTTTTGTGATTGCAAGGAGCCCAGTGGGAAGAGTGGAAGCCGGTTGGCAGCATCCCGCTTGGGCAGTCAAACTGTGTGCCACATTGCAGCGAATTGGCTCTTGAACTCCCGAGATACGGTCTCAGGCCTTTTCTGGATCTCTGGAGATGGACTGCTGGTCTTGCAGCCGGGTTGACAATGGTGCGTTGATCGTGGCAATTCTGTAAATTAGCGTAAACCCGTTGGGAGAGGGGAGCCGAACAGACTGATGACGACGACAAACCAGGACACACACACACACACATCAACACACATGCCCAGATTTACGCGCCCGGCCACTGGTGGTGTCTGAGGTGCAAGCAGGGTAGGAACTCGTGGTTGATGCACCTCAGGTTCGAGGCACCCTGACTGACTGGAAAAGACCGACATTTGAGGCTTGCGCGAGACCGCCCCAGCGCCATGCACGGTTAACAGCCCGAATCGCGTGTGTTGCAAGTCGCAAGTCGCGCTCACGAGCTTGGACGGAAGGCATCGGCGAAGAGATCTTTCGTTGCACCGAGGAAGACCACCGAAGCCGACGAGCTCCAGAAGTTGTTGCAGGGTCTCCCTCGATATGCGTCTCGGCCTAGATACATTGGTACAGTGGATTTGAGAGGTGCTGGTCGAAGCACGGTTACCCATTAACCGGTAGCCTCTGGGCGCTGTCCTATCGGTAAGGTGTAGGTCTTGGATAGCACGCACCTCCTTTTCCGTCGCCACTTGGGATTGAGCCGATGGCCTCGGTCCGGGAGCATCCTCTTTGGTTCACGTATGGGCCAACCTTTAATCCATCAAGGGGGAACTGTGCGGGCTCCCTCTAGGAAATGTTGAGGGATGAACTCCACTGCGAGGTCGGTCCCTGGGAGGCTTTAAATTTTGCGATGCTATGGGTGCAACGTTCAGACGGCTTTGTGAACTTGGATGCTGATCAGCGAGCTTCACGAATTTTCCGGCGGAGAGTGTGTGGGACGTCTTCACCTTGACTTGGATTTGCTACCAAACTTCGCTGCCTAATTACGTTGTTGTGGCACGAGCTTTGTCCGATGTGAGCAATGCGAAGTACAATGCCTTCAGGAACAGCACTTTGCCACCTACAAAAATTCGCTGCTATGTCGATTTTTCGGTGCGTATGTGCCTGGGCTGGAAAATTGGTATGAAGTGTCCGCATGCAGGGCTCGTGGGGACGTTTGAAACAACTTCGGCTGCAGGAGCTGCTTCTCGGACGTCGAAGAGTTCGTTTGGTGGTGATGAATAACACGTGTCTTGCCGCAGTGGCTGCAACTCTTTGTCTTGAAAGCGATGTCCACCTTCCGTCCAAGTTCGTTCCCTGCTTTGCATGTGCAGTGCATGTCGAACGCAACAGGTTCGCATGTGCTCTTCAACCCCACGTAGTCTACGATCCTCGGCAACAGTCTTTGCGTGAGAGCTTCTTTGCTCGGCTCTGTAGAGTGTGTTCCGTTCGAGGCTAGTGACGGCTAGTGAGAAGATCGGTCGCGCGCCTCCCGGCCCACGGTCGAACCTAAGGACCTCAAGGGCACAACGGAAGATCGGTGGGTCAATCCGCGGCCGGGTACTGCTACATGGTCCGAATGTCCCTAAACGTTGCAAGATAACCTGCAACGGAATAAACCAGACCAAGGTTCTCAAGGACTTGAACTTCGCGGACAAAACCATTGGAATTCCTGACGCATGGTTGCAACGCGCCTGTGACGTCGACAATGTCTGCCGTGATCTTCAGCTCGACTCATTTCGGACCTCTGTCGAGGACCTGAAACACAAAGCTGCACTTCTGCACATCCTGAAAAGAGACACGCAGTTTCTGCGGAGCCAGCACGCTCCTGGGCTCAGATTCTAAAAGTATCCTTCGCAGAGCTGTGTGGATTTTGCCCTAGCAGAGTTTTCTGTGGCTGAGGTGATGGACTACTCTGTTTGCCTTGGAGTGCACTACTGCGAGGAGCCGTGCTCGATATGCGGTGCCAGTTCCTCCCAGTCTTCCCACTCCCGAGTATTCACCCGCGCGCTTGGATCACTGTCGTTGGAGCCGTTAGAGTTTGGGGCATTGTTACCCTGATGTTGTCCCGCTCCGTGGGCACTCTGACTGAGTTTCGGCTTGGCTTGGGGACTCGTGGGCAGAGAGGAGAACAGCTATCCCAACTCAGAGCTCATGACACCCGAGCCGGGCATCTCCTCTGTGCTTCGGTGCCAAGGGTCGTGCTGGAGCAAGACCATGACACAGTAGCAGATCAACAGGCGAATGCATGTTTACGATTACCATCGATTGCGCTTTGCTTAAACTCTTCGTGAATTTTCTACCTGTTCTTAGTCTTGTACTTATAGCGGCACAGGGCTGGAGTTCAACAACTACAACAGCCATCCGCTGCCCAAGTCACTGGCCGTCCTGCGCGGCTACGAGCCCAAGTATCAATGCACGCTGGCACCTAAATTGCAGAGCAGTCAGGGCTGGGAGAGGCCTGCCCCTACCAGTTGATGTGAAGGTGAGACTTCAGCTTGTGCCTTTCTTGTGCTTCCTTTTGACGTGAACGTCTCCGACATTCCAGCTTCACGCCAGCAGTCATAACCGTTCGGCAGAGCTGCTTTGACGACTTAGGTTCGGAATCAGCCTTCGCAGAAGGTGGTTTTCTTCATAGGCATCATCGAGCCTTGGTTCGAGATTCTAACGGTCTCCACAGAAGCTTGTTTGGGCTGCGGGCGTTTCGAGCAGGCTGAGTCCTTTCTAGGCTTCCGTCAAGTGCCAGGCTGAGCTTTTGCAGAGTTCTTTTGCCTTGCTCAGGACATCCTCCAGCAGTTCACTTGGACGAAGGCACTTGCACACACCGTGAAGCTTCTTGGCTCGAACTTGGGCGCGAGAGCTTTAAACCTGATGATTTGTTCTCAGCATCTCGCGATGTGGTCTTGAGAAGGTCCCTCAGCCTTGGTTGGGTGCACGAGATCGACACGGCCCCGCCAGCTTATTACGCGCGGCGCTTCAAAACGCTCCTCGCCGGCAGTGCGGGGCCAGTGCGAGTGGGTGGACATTGTGGTGCTTGCAGTTTGGAGTAGATCCGAGCTCTTGCTATCCTCGTCTGATACGTTTGTGCCCCATGCAGTCGGCAAGACGAGGTCTTTCTGTGCGAGACTTGGCCGATGATGAGCCTTTTTTTCATGCACAAAGCACAGAACCCGCGGTCAGTGTCTGTGTGGGCCAGGATAGAAGGCTCAGTAATCTCATTGGAAGAGTCAGGGGAAATGCCGTGTTCCCAACGAAGTCTGTACCTGTGCTGTCTATCCGTCCGTCCGTCTGTCTGTCTGCCTAGTTATGTATCGAAAGAGAATCATGGTTAACTATCATCGTCCCATGCACCCTTTCTCAAATGCCGTTTGCTAAATGCTGCATGCAAGAGACCATACATCAAATACGACTTGTGCCAGTACTGCCTTGTTTTTTTTACAATGTCTTTATCACATGGACATTGTTCCATAACCTCTAATCTGCGCACCCATCTGATAGGTATACACATACATGCACGTGCATATCCATGTATCTGTGTGTTCTTCTGCCTATACTTCCATACACACCTCATGAGAGTATGCAGTTTGTTGTATGCAGATTTAAAAACTCCCTTTCGCCCTGCCTGTGATGCCTTGCATGCCTGCATGCATCAGTTTGTGGGTGGATGCATGAAGGTATTTGCATATGTATGTAAGTATGTATGCATGTATGTGTGTATGGATGTATCAATGCAGGCAAATGCATGCATGTGTGTTTGTATGCTACAGACACAGCTGAGGCCAGCATTTTCGAGGCGATTTCTTTGTTCTCCGGCTGTGGTAAGCACTGCTAGATGCTGCAGCCTCACTAGGGAGCTCTAAGTCGACAATGCTGTCCGATTGTCCAGCTTGTTGTCACGTCTCAAACTCTCACGCGGAGCTTGAAGAGTTGTGAGTGAGAGAGAGAGAGAGAGAGAGATGGGCAACCTCAGTCAGCAAGGGGGAACAATGTCAAGGAGAACATACATACTTCCTGTTTTCGCTATCGCACACTTTAACACCTTAGTCCAAGGAAGTATTATGTTCGTTTTTCACACCCCTTAACCTGCATTAAATATACGCGGATGGGCCTGTGGCCCGGGGGTCCTAACCGACCCTCATGCCCGGGAGAGAGCGAGAGAGAGAGAGAGAGAGACCCGCAGGTGCGCGTGCGCGTGCGGCGGTTGGGGCGTCCGCTCGTTCTCGCTGTCCTGATAAGAAAGAGAGAGAGAGAGAGAGAGAGAGAGAGTCAGAGTGCCCTGGTAGAGAGATTCAGAGAGAGAGAGAGAGAGAGAGAGGCGTAGCATGTCTCCACTTGAGCGCTGTATGCCTCGTTTTGCATTTTCCACTCTTGGCACCCGCAACAGTCGGGGGCGCTAACGCGCGCGGTGTAGGGGGTTCTCCCCCTGCACCACAGCCCTGGCGAAAGAAAGAGAGCTATCTTCCTGGACCCCGAAATGAAGTGAAGTGAAGAGAGTGAGAGTGAGAGTGAGAGAGAGAGAGAGAGAGAGAGAGAGAGCGAGAGTGAGAGTGAGAGTGAGAGTGAGAGTGAGAGTGAGAGGCTGTGCTGGAACCCATCGCTGGCCCAGGAAGGTGCAGACGTTCCGTGAGCCGGAGGTGCCAAGCCTGCAACAGTGCCGCACCGCACGTGTCCTCTGCCGACTTGCACTTCTGCGGGCGGTCAGGATCGCGTCACCCGCTTCGTCCGACGCCTGCGCCTGGGCATCGAGAACGGCTGCTCAATTGAAGTTATTGCCTTTGAGTATTGTGACAGGGCTCGGAGCAGCCCGGGACTCCTCTACGTGCCTCCTTCATCTTCCTTCGATCATTATACCAACATACCCTGCGCATGGCGAGATAGATCAAACATGCCCTCGGCACATCGTTTGGTGTAAATGCAGTCAGAATTCGGAGACTGTCTGATTTTGGTGGGAATGATGGAGGGCTAAGGGCCTAACGCTGGGAATGATGAATGTGGCACATGTGTGCAGTGGCGAACAAGCATGCATGCATCAAAGAGGATGCTGGCAAGGCGGCCTGTTGTCGCCCGTTGCCCGCAGCCTACATGCACTCTTTGCAAACATGAATGGTTTGCAGAGAATATGTGCTAGGGCCCAACGTAGCTTGGGACGGTGGGAGACTCAGCATCACTGCGGGATGAAAGGGCCCGAAAGTTGGAGCATTCTCAGATGCATCATGCCGGTAAGCGCAGAAACGCATGGAGCGCCAGTGTGGGCCTTCTGGTTGATTGACTTCAGATACATGATAGTGGTTGTACGTCGTAGAAACGTTTGAGCGGACAGCGCAGAGGTGCTGAAAGTGAGACCACTGAGCAGGTCCAGGTTCAACTTGTGTGATGCGCCCCTGGTACGTCAAAGTTTCTCAGGGCCCCTCAATGTGCTGACCTCATGCAAAGGAGCTTCGGTCCACCCAACATTGCCACAGCTGGAACAGACTGACCTGCACCGTGTGTTCCTGCACATCTGTTGTCCGCCTCGAATTTCCTGAGGCACCGTGCCCTGCCCTACCTTTGTCAGCCTTGAGCGGCCGCGGACAGAAACAAATCCCGTGTCGTGGCAATGTGTTTGATTGGCAGCTTTCCATAACGGAGGTCGCTGAAAGACCAGTGGCCAGAGATCGTGTCTCCAGACGCTCAGGAGTTTAGTGCCGACCCCACAGCTGATGTGACACTGGACGAGGCTGTGGACTTCGCCGTGAGGCCATGCCGTAATCACGAAAGCCACCGCAATCCCACTACGACCAGCAGCAGCAGCAGCAGCAGCAGCAATAGTAGCAGGGACACGACATTCATTAACAGTGTAACAGTAGAACCGAATGTGACAGCTAAGCGCACTCCATCACTGGAACTGCCTGGGCCGAGCTCCCTCCTCTACAATTTTTGGGTAGCTTTCGTTAGCCTTGGCTTTCTCCTCAAGTCACTTTCGACAGCAGTTCCGCCGTGCCAGACGCGGTGGGCAACTGCTGGTGGCCCGGCGTGGTCTGCTCCGCAGTCGGGCAGAGGAGGTGGAAGCTTTCCTGGACATGGATCGCCATGCGCTGATCTTTCAGGCGCACCTGAAAGCATCGTGCACATTGCACCTCTATCCTTCGGAGATTGGACTGTCACAGACCCGTGTAAGTTTCCGCTAGGAGATGGCGCGGCGCCCTTACGCACGCGGCCGCCGCCCCACGTCGCTCGTAGCCTGCTACAAGATCCGGCGCGTGTACTTGACCATTGTCTGCTACAGGCCCCGAGGGCTGGGGCTCATGGCCCGAAGGGTGCTCGGACCGTGTCCACTGGACGAAATCATGAGACTTAGTAAATCGGCTCAAAACAAGATAACGAGAGGAACTAGAGTAGACAAGGCTTACATGTTGTGATTATCATCATTGACACCCCATTTAAGGTGCTTAGAACCTTATGTACCAAGCTCCATGATCCTCCATGTATAGCCGTCCCCATCGACTGCTTGAACACCGGCCGGACTACACAAGAATGTTCCAGCAATTTCCCGAGTCCCTTGCCAGGCCGCGAGACTTGTACTGCATGGCATGTCGCTCCCACATGAGCCCTGGCATCAAGTCTGGCCACACATTTGCAGCGGAACGCACTGCCGATGTGCGTGGGTGTGCGGGATCATGGTTGAGCATCCACTAAGCAGGTTAAAGATGCTGGTAGCACAATATCCGCATGAACACCAGCACTCCGACAATGCTCATGCATCAACGTGTCAGCTGATGCCAGGACTCCTCACAAGGAATCACTCGCATTTCTGTTGCAGAGACAGTCAGAGACATCGAGCCGCTTGCTCAAGGAAGATTGAGGCTGAACCCCCGGAGTCGCGACGCTTTACAGTGGAGGCTTGTTGCTTCTTGTTTTTGGTTAGCCGGAAGACCAGTCCATCAAGCTGCTGTGGCAGCATGTTGAGATGCGGTTATAGAGGCGGATGACGAGGAGCCGCTTCGCTTCACTGCGCCCAGCCGGCGTCAGGCCTGGCAGCTCCTGGCAGCCTCTGGCCTTTCTTCAGCTTTCAGTGGGTCTGCTGCAGGCGAAGCTGTGGGTTACGGCCCTGGAGGCACTGCTCTGCACTGCTCTCTGCGGCCTGCTTTCTACCAGCACCTGCTGAGTGGCCGGAAGCGGCCACCAGGTGGCGGCCGGCTACGTCGAAGCAAACGTCGAGGACGTCCGCGAGGCACAGGCTGCCGCGCTGGCACTGGACTCAGACGGATCAGCCCAGAAGCAAAGGGTTTTTGCACAGCTCGGGGTCAGAGGTTAGCTCTGCCAGTGGCAGCCCAGATGCAGCCTTCCTCTCCAAGCCGGCCTCGGCAGAGCCCTGCCTGCGTATGGGGGCTCTCGCAGGAGTCGGCAGAAGCTATAGATCTGGTCTCTCAAAGGTCCGTGCGGCGCTGCTCGGTTCCTTGGATTTTCTCTTGGAGGACGCCTGTCTGGCGTGGGCATTGTGTGAGCATACCTGAATCGCTGCCGGCCTTGGAAACTGAGACGACCTGAGCGCTGGTTGTGCAGGAGAAGGAGCTTGCAGTGGTGCTCGGTACAGCGCGGCAGGCTCTGTGCGACTGAGTCTGTTTGAGTGCGCGATGCTTAAAGTTTTGTGAGTTTTTCTGCAGGCGAGACATGGGCTGCTGGAGCCATACCTTCTCGGGCCAGAGGCAGGAAGTGGGCGGAGGATTCGGAAGGATGCGGAAGAGGTCGATTCGGGTAGATAGGGGTGGATCAATGTCGCCTCACAGTGCAGCTCTGCTGTGCTGAAAGACCTGTTTGGCCCTGTGTCTGGCCAGGCAGAACGTCGGTGGCAAAAGAGGCGGCTGAAGTGGATTTTCGGCTTCGTCGCCGGAATGCACGCAAAGTTTGCCAGACAATGGGATCACATCCGGATGCTGCCATCGACAGCTTAGGTTGATGCAGATGGAACAGGCGCACTGTCCATTGAGAAGATCAACCTGCTACAGAGCTGCAACGAGATGCTTTGGGCGGATTCACCGATTCACCAGAGACTCAGAGATACATATGCTCTGACTGCTTAATATTAACCTCTGAAACTGTCGGAAGTCGCTGCTGCTAGACCCACTCTCTCGAAGCCAAGCAACCGTGCTTCAGATTCGTCTTCACCAAGTGAGAGAGCAGGCGAGAGCGAGCCCTTCATATCTCAAACGGGCATGCGGAGATGTACATATCCCGGTCAGAGTTGGGAGGTTGAGATTTTAGAGACAGGTGCTAGCATGCCGTACTGCATAGGCAGCTTCAACTCACTGTGGTCAGTGAGTAAGGTTGTGGCATGAGATGAACATCAATGAAAAGGAGGGCCAGCAGGCAACGTGCACAGTCAGTACACGAATGCTAAAGCTGCTCGAGTCGCTGGTGAAGCTGCTTGTACGGCGGTCATACACGAAAGGGCAAGAAAGGGCTGCTAGCTGGCTTCACTGTAGAAATTTCGTTTCCGTGCGATTACCGCTCAGCATTGCATCTCCTTCCCGATTTCATGATGAAGGGTGAAGACGGGGACGCATGGCCAACTGCAAGAAGCCGATTCTCTCCAGGTCCTCACAGCATTCCTGCGAGAGGTGCCTTGTCTCATCTCTGTCGGCCGGTCCACGTGCAGTGTCAATATATCTTGTGCGGGTTAGCTCCAGCTGGATCGGGGCTGAAGTCCTACTGCAAACTGGGATTGTAGTCTTGACGAGGTGAGTGCGTTGAGAACTGTTCACAAAGAGCTGAATCCGAAGCCCGGGCAGCCAGGAGCGGCAGGGCCGTCGTTCCGGCGGTGGTCGCCAGATCGGTGGTGGTCAAGTACTACGACTCCAGGTGCCGGGGGTTTCTGCTGAGCAGTAGCTGGAGTCCATCCATGATGAGAGTGCGCGGTTCTGTTCAAGCCGGGGCGCAGGATTGGACCAAAATGCTGTCTCTGGTGGACAGTGCCTATGCCTGTAGCTTAGTCGCCGTTCCTGCATTGAGTGGACGGCCCGCGACCTGATTGTGTACGCGACACTCCTGTAATCACTGTAGCCGCTTTCCCAAGCCCGCCCTGCCGAGTCCGACAGTGTTTGCGGTAACGGGAACAGGATGTCCGTAACTGGAACCCGTAACAGAAACGGGGACCGATGCCGTAACAGCAATCACCAGTTCGTGTAACACCCCCCAGGCCGCCCCTCGTAACAGGAACCAGTGCGGGGCTCCGAGAATGACTTGTTTCACGTCCACCTGCTCTTGTGGGCTCGCCAACTCAGGAACCGCTTTCCGGTCCCCCGCTTATATGTCTTGTCATGTAGCACTAGAAAAGTGACCTCATATGTCCACAGCAACCTTTGTCCTGAATTTCCGATCCCGGTCCGCTGCCGGCCTTGGCGACTGAGTGTGCTTGACAGTTATCGGTTTGATTGTTTATGAGCCGCATCTTGGCTTTGACGGTGGCAAGTCGAAGAAGCCGTCGAAGCTTGACGCATGCTATCTGACCCCCGAGTAAGGTGAAAGCAGTCCACCGGTGCGTGAGGGACCACCTTCACCTTGGCTGCCCTGCTTCGTGCAGCGCTGGAACGCCTCTTGGCAACCGCATATTCGAAGCTCAGCCCCAGCCAATGATCGAGCTATAGTAGGTGGTTAGGGCCGTTAGGGCAGACGTTAGCCCAGGCTTGGCTGGGGCTAGGGCGAGGCTAGGCCTACCTAGCCAGGGACTAGGACTAGCCTGGGGAGGCTAGGGCGTGGCTACGCCCGGGGCAACCCTGAGTTTTAGGGTTAGGCGAACTATGGGCCATTTTTGACTTATTTTCGTCGGGTTCGAATTGCAACCTTCAGTGATCTTTGATCTTTGATTGCAATATTTTGGGCTTCCCAAAGCACCCCGAAGTGGCCCATCATAGGCATCTTGGCTGAGCTTCGGGCTTGGGCAACTCCATTGGTGGCAAATTTCAGTGGTCCTAAACCGAGCCCTATAGGCTCACCGCGAGCCGGGGCGAGGGGGCTTCGAGCCCCAGCTTCAAAGGATTTAGGCTCGGACTGCAGGAGGACTAGAGCTCGACAAGCTTTCGTGCAGGATGTCTGAGCTCATGGTGCACGGAGTCAACTCGGATCCGGCAATGGTGCAGGCCAGGGCCAGAGCTACTCGAGGGCGTTTGTGGGCCCAGGTGATTTACAATTAGCTGTCCAGGTGACTGCGGATGACTTGGCAGGCTTCTTCGTGGGCATCCAGGGAGCTCCTTGGGGCGCAAGAAGCTCGCTCGCCGTGGCATTTGGGTGAAGGATTCCCTTCTGACATACCGTGCAGCCGCGCTGAGGTCTGGCCGCCTCCATCGAAGCAACAGGTCGAAAGGCTGGTTGCACGTTTCCTGGCTGTACTGGCTTTGTGTCTTTTGCTCCGTGAAGCACATGTTAAAGGCTGTTGCATTGTTATTGATACAGTAGCAGCAATTGGTTCTTTGATTCGTCGCGAACATGTTGTACCATCTGAGGCCTCCCAGCACCGCTCAGTTCCAAGCAGCACAGCCTTTCAGCAGAAGCGCCGCTGGTCATGCAAGCAAGTGATAGCAAGTGCATGTATACCGCGCAGTTGAAGGCACGCCCCTGTCCTAGGTTGGTGCAGCTGCTTTGCTCGCCAGGCAGGGCAATCTTGCTACAGTGTGAGTTTCTGTCGTCGGCTCGAATCTCGCACCTTGCCGTGCAGCTCAAAAGCTCAAGACTGTTCAGGCAATGCGCTGGTGGACCCAGCAAAGCGGTCTTTGTTCCAGGACTCTTCAATGCCTCTCTGCCAATCTTGGCAGCACTCCCTTCAGAACCAACCACGCGGGCTCTGTCCCGCTATCAGGACATGACGCAGCCGCTGTCTGCCTACTTCGTAGACACCTCGCACAACACCTACTTGGAGGTGGTCGTTGCAAGGGCGATTTTGCAACCTCAGCCCTTGGTCATGACCCGTTCGCTGTTGTCGCCGCAGCGAGGGCAACCAGCTGAGCAGTCGATCGTCCGTGCTCCGCTACGTGGAGGTTCTCCGCACCGGTTGCCGATCCGTGGAGGCCTGGAGAAGAGCACCGGATTTTTCTAGTCAATAGTGAGCTGACGAGGGTGTGGCTTTCGCGTCATGTCGCGTCTGCGAGGTGGACGTTTGGGATGGCAGCAATGGAGAGCCGGTGGTGAAGCACGGGTACACTGTGACCACGGAAGTGGCTTGAGTGCATTGAAACTCCCTGCAAGATGCTGTTCATCGGAACTGTGGTTCTTGGCGGTGTCATTTTTGGCGTCTTAAGCCTTACTTCTTGTACCTTTGCGGCCGCTTCTCAACACGATCTCGAGTCCGGCACCAGGAACACTTCGAGCCTTGCCGTTTCGCCTTCCACACCCGATCCCCTGCAAGCATTCTAGCTTGCAGTTCCCGATCTCTTGATGATTGTACTTGCTTTATCGAAGCCTCCAGCCCTGCCCGGAGACTCGTTTTGAAGTATCGATGCCCCAGTGGCTACGGTCCTTGACTGTAGGCTGCCACGCAGCAAAGACGAGCAACTAAGCTCCTAGGTTCCGAAGCTCAGACTCAGGTACTTTTCCAGGATGTCATACAGGCCTTCTCGTCTTGCTTTTAGGACTTATGTGTGCCTGTGTGCCCTGACCGGACCACTGCCACAGCCTGGTACTTTGCTTCGTGCTTGCAGGCTATCGCCGATCATGCGTGCCCAGGCAAGAAGGAAGGCAAGTCATAATCCTTGGATTCACATCCTCGCTGCAGCTGTTTGCCAGCGCAGTTGTCTGTGAGCAGGAGTCAGGTTCACTCTTTCTGTTGTGAGCGTGCGAGTAGTTGAAGCAGGATTAGGCTTCACTGAACGTTCATGACCAGCTCAGGTTCGTGGCATCAGAGTTCCCCGTCATCATCTCCATCGCCCCTTTACCGCAGGTTCTTGACGCATCGATTGAGCTTTTTGCGAGCTTCAGTAGTAGTCAGAACAGTTATAGACTTATAGACGACCCAAGCCTGCAGAGCCTACCCAGGAGCAGCATTGCTGCGCGGCGCAGCGTGTCCGACAGGGGCAGATCATGTCGGAGGTGCTGGGAGATCATCTCTTGAGGCCGACTCTCCAATCTCAGTGTCAGTGGGGGGTCTCGGGATTGGTACACGACTGGAGCCTTGATTTTGGGAGGCCACCCTGGGACGAGCAGCACCAGTGCATAGACAGTGCTGAGGCCGCAGGGCAGGGGGCATCGACAGGGTAATACTGGTTAATGATCCGTCGCCCGTCGAATACTGTGCTTTGCGTTTGCCCATCCTAGGCATCGCGATACGATCAATCCCATATTGCCTGTTCGGGAATACAGCTATATCAGGCGATATGCGCTAAGGCATGGGCGTACCGTGCCGGGGACAGGGAGCGTTGGGGGAGCACGGGGAGGGGTGAGGGTTTGGTGGGGTCTGGGCAGATGTTGTCGCCTAGCATCCTCAAATTTCCATCGTCGTTGTACCGAACACATGGGCTCCTCCACCTACCTAAACTGCATTCAGAAGCGCATGAGCAATGACGGGTGCGGCGCTCAACTGCTCCTCCCTCCTCTCTTCTGCATCAGGGCCTGGTTATTCCAAGTCATTCGGGCGATTTCGTGGTCAGAAGTGCTGTTGCCACCTTTCGGTCGAACTCAGCAGGAAATCACGGAAGTAAAATAAAGCACGAACGCGAACTCCGAATTCCTGCAGCAAAGCAGCTCAGGAAAACGGGACAACACACACACACAAGCACACACTCGTCGATTTGAGCACAAGGCAGAACAAGAACTTATCAACGGCACAGACATTGGCTGCATTGCCCGACTTTTTGCCCATGTCAGCTCTCGAAGCAGGAAAGCATAATCACCCCCAGAAAACATCCAGGAAAGTGTAACACGCAGGGATCAACTCCCAAGACATGCAACCAAAGGAGCACCATGCGTACCTGATGTTTTCTCCAGATTCCGAAGCTTGGCATGCTGGCGCCAGGCCGAGTCCATCTCGCCATGGTCGGCACGAAAACGTGTGCTCGTTAAGTCCTCGCAGCTTGGCGCGCATGCCGGTGAGATCTGCATGGAACGGTTCTCTCTTGAAGCCAAATGAGATTTAGGAGGAACAAGGCTTCAGTGAGGTGGGTCTACGGCTTTCGCAAGGAGGGCTGGCAAGGAAGCCAAGGATCGGCTGCTGTGAGCGATGCCAGCGGCCGCTTCCGGTCTACGATCGCTGCGTGGCCCTGCCGACGCGGAAGCTTGGGGTGCATTGGATGACTGCTTGTATTGCGGGTGTCATGAGAGAATTTGTGAGCGAGCCGGACTGGGCGAAGCGGAACCCGAATGCCAATGCCGGCCCTGCAGACTCTTACATGAGGCTTGCTTCTGCAGCCGTGAGGGTCTCTGCATATTCTCCGAGGTCTTCAACTGCTTGCATCAAATCTGGATTCAAGAGTCTCGTGCTTCCTCACATTTTGCCGTTCTCCGACAGCCATTACCCTGTCGCAGTCACGAGCATCCCCGATCGCAAACCCGCGGCTCTGGCACCACCGAAACAGCTCTGAGGGTCGAAGGCTTTGGAGGTTCAAACTGGAGACTCTGAGAGCTTCTGGGCTCGGTGGGGTCGGGCTCGGAACTCCGAAGAGAAAGGGATTCGGCCAATCATTGACACCCATTGAACACTGCAACTCGGGGGGCTCACCGCCCTCGCTCGAAGCGCACGGCTTTTGGCCTCTATTGGCTGAAATCCTTGAGGCGCCACTTCGCACTAATCCAAAAAGCGCTTTGAGCAGAAACTGGATAAGTATTGAAGCCACTGAGGCATTTCAGAGCTGCGACAAGCTATCCTCAAAATCGTGTGAAATAGTTCTTGGCAAATCATGCAACTATGCGCGAGGAAATTGCTCCACAAGCTGGTGGAGAGGGAGGCGCGGCTGTGCTTGGGTGCCTGTGAGTCTGAGTCTGCCTTGCCATCGGTGCACCGCAGGAGGGAGAGATAGAGCGAGAGGGACGGACCGCTCCCCTGGCCTTAGCCGTTGCGAAAGACAGAGCGGGAGAGAGAGATCGGAGAACCCCCACAGGTCCCCGGTAGTTCTTACCTTCCGACTCTTTTTCTGTCCCAGCTTTTGGGACAGCTACCCGCGGCACCTGTTGCCTATGATTTCCAACAAAGTTTACCCGTAGCTTGCCCGTCCATAGAGAATGTAGCTCTGCTCTTTGTTAAACTCAAGTACCGATGGAGGAGTGTCAGCTGCATAGCCTTATCTTTGAGGGCTGGAATCTGTATCGCTCCGATAGGCTTGCAAGTGGCTGACAGCCTCTTGATTTGCACGCCAGTTGAGTGATGGAAGTGCTTCCCCCAGCAACTTCTCCGTGGAGCAGGACGCAGAGGGACGCAGCGGCAGCTCTGCCTTGAGCGACATGCAATTTATCGCTGTGCCAGTTGTGGAGGACTCGAGCTACCCTTTCGAGGTGGCTTCTGGGACTGTGGCGAAGGTGGAATGCTTTCCGACAGGGTGTAGGGAGTGATGCTATGTGCCCAAACCGTCAAGAACCGCATGACTCCAGGTGCACAAGCTAGAGAAGACCCTGGGACGTGATGCCATGCGGCGCTGGAACTCTGCTCATCTCTCTCGCGTCTACCCCGAGGGCACGCGCATCGGCTCAGGCAACGTGGATCCGGTGACTCGGCGACGTACAGTAGGTCTGCAGTGCATTGCGGGGGAGTCCATCGGCCTGAGGTGCCAATGTGGCTCTGCGGTGTGCAGATGGTGGCCATGAACTACCAGACCTCGGACACCGGCCTCCTGCTCAACGAAGGACAGGGGCGCCCGCCCCCGTAGGACGAAGGATGAGGTGCTCTCGGCTTCGGAGTGTCGCACAGGCCTCTTTCGAAACTACAACGGTGGATGTGGCTACGTGCTGCACCTTGGCCATGTTGCTGTGTGTTGCTCTGGGGGAATCTTCGTTGCAGGTGGCCAGAATGCCGAAAACACAGCGAAAACAGAAAACAGAACCAGTTTTTGTGGCGTGTCCCTGCTGTGCGCAGTGCTTGAAAGACGTGACTGCAGGGTCTTGACTCGGCCAAAGAGCCCACAGACTTCATTTTCCAAGGCTCCTTCTGCGCTGTAGCAAGATTTTGTCAGGTCCGTGTCCTCCAAAGAGCGACTGTTGTTAAGCTCAGGAAGCCGCCTCTGCCCTCAGACATCGTCAAGCCAACATCACGGAGGTGCCTGATGTTTGGGGCTCGCCGACGGTGGTTTGGGACAACCTCAGAGTGTTTTTTTGGTCTCCTGGTGCTGCAGGCTTCGTCTTTGCATCTGCTGCGGGCACCGTCTGCCAAGGCGCGGGTGCTCTTGCCACAGCGGCTGCACTTTGTAAAAGATCTCTGTTTGCATGGCACGTCTGTGTTTTGAGTATGTCGCTGAACACATGTCACGAAGTGTAATTTTCCACGAGACCCTGACTGTCTCAAGGTGCAACCTGTGGATGCCAAGCTTTCTTAAGCTCCAACATGCTCAAGGTGACATCTGTAGAGAGCTTTACAATTGGCAGGCCAGACCTGTCGCTGGGTGAGACCCGCGGTGCCGCTCAGCTCGAAGGGATGTCTGGGGTAGCGGGCTGTTTCAGTGCTTCTGAGCCAGGTGAGCTCGCCGATGGTCACAGTGTCTCTGGAGCCTGGCCAGCAGGCCGCACGGCTGAACCCTGCTAGCAGCCGTATAGTTTGTGCTGTCAAAGTTAAGTTCTGATTGCTCAAGATCTCAGTGCCGGCTGCTTCTCAGTCGTCGTATCCAGGCTTCTGTGTCAAGGTTAGAGGAAGCGAAGGTAGAGCATCGACCCGGCAACCTAGCTTAGTTTGCCAGGTGTCGCACACCCGTGCTGTGAAGCAAGACGGTTACCACCCCGTCTTCGATCACGAGGCCGCGGTCCTTTTCCCAAACGTTGACTGCTTCACCTGCACCTGCAAATTGGCACCATTGCCTGCCTGCCTGCCTGCCGCACGCAGTATCCATGTCGACGTCTCATTCCTTGTAGCTGTCACATGCTCACATGCTCCTGGTCTCACCTCCTGATGCCACCGCAGTTTCCCGTGTCCACCCGTGGCAGGCAGAATTGCAGGTGTCGGATAGCCCGCTGCACATCCTCACTTTCGAAGTCTTCGATTCTCGGCGATCCAGCAAAGCACTAGGGGACACTCTTTGTTAGGTCGTTCCTAGTGTCCTGAAGCCCAGGACACTCCCACCGGCAGAACTATGGCCAGGAGATGTCCGGCTGGTGTTTTTCTCTACTCTGGTGCCTGTGGTCTTGTCACTTCACAGAAAGCTCTGCTGCAATCGCAGGAGTGCTGTGACGCTCGATGCTGTTCGTCCAGGCTTCCGCTGGCTGGCCCTTCATAGCCCGCAGGGCCACAGCATACCCCGATGTGGTCTGCTGCTGCAAGTGCAGTTTCTCCCTTGAAGTGCAACTGAACACGTGAGACAATCGTAGCAATAGCACCAATTTTCCCGGCCACGAAGCAGCGCTGCAAGTTGGCTGAGCATGGTGCAGTGATCGTTAATATACCCACTGCTTCGCGTGCAGGCCATCAGCTGTCTGGTAACTAACTGCTGATGAGACATTGTTCGACGACGCCTCTCGCGCGGCAGTGCCTAGCATCTTGTTAATGTCCTCTGGTCCGGATGGCCACAGGAGAAGCCACATCAACTTTCTGAAAAAACTGCTGGGAGTTCTTTGACAACGCGTTGTGATCCTAGACGCAAAGCCGTCCATGTTCCGGTCGGGTGAGATCGGCTGCGTCATTGGACTTGATGTCTTCTTCTGTGGCATCCGCCCAGCTCGATAGGCTCTGTTTGGCGAGAGCCGAAAGAAGGATCCTGCGCCTCTTTTCACATCTTACAGATACAACCTGCTTGATTCCCAACTTGGCAAACCGAAGGCCCGGAAGCTCCATCACTTCCGTTGCCTTCGTGCGGACCGGGACCCTGCAGGCCACGCATTTTGGTGAAGCAGTCGGGAAGAGCTCTGGGCCTCGGTGCAGGCTTGGAACCAGATGCTCAAGGTGGCGCCGAGGTCCGTCCTGAGCGGCCTCTGGCGGGAGGCGAGGGCGGGTTTTAACTCGAACCACAAGCATGGTGGCTGGGTGGCTGCTGCATGGACGCCTCGGAAAAACCTACCCGGCCCTATTATCTGCGTTTGCAGCTGAAGTGCCAAACTGATTACTCCTTCAGAGAGTTCTGCGAGGTGCTGCGGCTAGTCCTTCAGGGGCCATGCGGCAATGGTGGCTGCGCAGCTTTGGATCTTGTCTTGCCCACTTGGGTAGATAGACTCGCGTCGAAGATTTTGCTTTCTGGCTCCATAGAGCCTAGACTTCCTTGCACTTCAAGGAGCCGATGTCTGTTCAGCCAGGTGATGCGGACTTTGGCTCGCTCTCCAACTTGCGGAAGCTTCGCGTGGCCATGTGCCGAGTGCAGTTTTTACTCCAAAGAGAGAGGAACCGAGGAGCCGAAGCGACTCTGCCCAGGCGGTCGCCTGCCGGGCAGGACTGGTGGCTCTGCCGCCGCGGTTGGCGTCGCACACTCGGTCCGTTTGTTGCCCTCTGCCGTGGTTCAATGCAACTTTGTTAACTCGGGAAGCATGAGTTCCGATCGCAGCTCTCTGGCATGCATCTCCTCCATGCCACCCTGCTTTCTAACCGCAGGCCTTGGCGATACGAACGGGGCGCGCGCTCCCTGCTAGTCAACTTTGCAGAGGACGGCCCGCTTTCAACAGAACACGTCTCTACGTCTCGATACCTGGTGTAAATAAGTGGAGTGCAGAAATTCTGGCGTGTTTTTGGCATCACCTCGCATCACCACTCTTCTCACCGGCACACGCAGGCTACTGGCAGCAGCGCACCGATTGCCTCTGCAGGCGTGCGGGGTCCGCCAGAACTTTCTCCAAGCTGACTGAGCAGAGCAATTGCACTGGACTTGGGCGGTCAGGCCTCAATGTTGGCTCCGTGAGCCAAGAGGAGGATGCGGAAGAGGACGCCCCGGAGGAGGTCGAGGAGGCCCGACAGATTCGGGGAGTTCTCCCTAGTCCCGATGTGGCTCTTGAGGTGGTCGAGCTTCTGCTCTCGGCCCTGCGCGATGCCGAGACGGTCGTGCGCTGGGCCGCGGCCAAAGGTGTCGGCTTGAGACCCAGACTTTATACACATGTTATATTTATATGTGCAAATAGGGGTGTGTGTGTGTGTGTGTGTGTGTATGTGTATATATATACACATACATACACGCAGAGAAGACAGTATGCCAAACATATTATATACCAGAGCATTATATGTACATATTTTTTAACACACACACATACATATAAACACATGTATGTACGCACTGACTCACTCGATCTCTCACTCATTCGTTCAATTCATTCACAGACACATAAACAGAAAGATATATCACGAAAGCTAGCCCTACGGAGCTTGCAGGAGTTGTCGTTCACCATTCGCTTCGGTTGTCGGGAACCAGGTCAAAATTACGTGCAGGACCTTATCTGGGGCTTTCCCAATAGTTAAAGGCCGTCACCCACAAGGTGGCAGCGGTGGTGTACAAGGTGGGGAGCCACCCCCCCATACTATAGTTGACAGTTTAGAGTTCCGCGTCGAGGCTTTAGGAGCTTTAGGGTTTAGTCGTTGGAGCTTGGCCGGGCCCTCAGTGCACACTGTCTGGTTGCACTTACCGCCGTGGTGAGCTTTTGCACGAGGCGTCACCAAGCCTAGGGTGAAGCGGACATGGATCTTCTTCGAAGCCTCGGTGCTCTCTGTCGAAAGCATACCACCCGCAGCAATTGGTTCTGACCGAATACAAGTTTAATATCAGCATGTACAAGAGCACAAATCACATATGTTTTGTTTACCGAAACGGATGGTCGGAGATGACAGGCTGAATCGCAAAGTTTTGTCTAATGTTCATGGTTCTATGGCATTTGCGGCTTGCTTCGTGCTCGGTATATAGGATATTTCCAACAGAACCTTCACCGGTTTTGGCTAAAACGGTGAGGCATGGCGGGGTGAATATGTATACGATTGTATACGCATATATGTATGTGTGTATATATATATATATAGATACACATACATACACATATGCTTACATACATACGTACATACATACATACATATACAGGCATGATGTGCACATTATATCTGTGTGTATGGATATATATGTATGTATATATATAGGGTTTGGGAACAAGTGCGGCAACAGCGCCGCATATCGCCTGAAGCCCCAAGTGCTAAGACAGCACGACCCGCTCCGGCACCGCTGCGCCATTCCTAACTCGCCCAGCTGGCATCGGAGGCTGAGGCGTTACCGCTCTAAGGCTCGCCAGCGGCTCCACGCCTACCGGCTCCAGGGTAAGCCAGCATTGCGGGCTGACGTCCGCAGGTTGCAAGGGCATCACTCCCGACCGGATCTTCGTGAAAGTCGCTCCATGGGCCGTAAGGACCAATGGAAGAACCGCCGACCAGAAGCAGGCCGAGAAGGCTATGGCTGGGGGCAGTCGTCTTCTTCGTGGCAGGGATCCTCGGCGGGCAGAACCTGGAACCAGCGGGGCGGAAAATGGCAGCAGGATGGTGGACCCACAAGGCCCCTCTTTCCATCCTTCGAGGAAATGCAGGGCAATGGGCAGCACCAAAAAGACAGAATGACTGCGAGGGAGAAGTCCGAGGAAAGGACTCTGGAGGAGCCCAGTGGCAAGGACGGTTACGTCACAGGCGTGCAGAAGGCCCTCAATGTGGTGCGCAAGACGGAGGGCAAGGCTCGGAAGCTCACGATGGACAAGAAGGCGACCGAAGCCAAATGGGCAGAGTTTCAAGCCGGCCTACGCGATGCCTACATTACCGAGCGAGCCAAGTACAAGGAGAAGATGGCCAAGATCACCCAGGACGAGGAGGACAATGCGGTGGCCAAGAACGAGGCCCTTGCAGAGCTGAAGGACATCATGACCAAGCCCAAGCCGGCCTTAAAGAAGAAGGAGAAGACCGAGGAAGATGCAGAAGCACTAGCGGAGCTGGAGGAACTGCTCAAGCGGCCTTCGGCGAGCTCCGAAGGCGGCATCACGGACCTCCTCGCGGCGGCGGTCAACGATGGCGACCTCGACAACGAGGACAAGCGGCAAAAGATCCTTCGTGCGATAGAGGAGCACCGCAAAGGCGAAGAGGAGCCAAAGACTCCGGTACGGCGGCGGAAGGACGCCCTGGAAAGGACACCGCCGACGAAGAAGCACAAGGAAAACGAGAACGAAGTTCACTACGGCGGCCTGGATCAGCGGATGGACGAGGGAGTGGACGAACCATACATTGCCTCGCCGGCCTTGAGAAGCCTGACTGGACTTACCGAGGGTGCCAGTCGATCCAAAAGCCGCAGCCGAATGCCAATCAAATGTGTGGGCAGGACGCCCACCCGCCCCAGCAGGGCCAAGGCCATCTCCGCTCGACTGGAGGCCAAACGCAACTTGGAGTGCGGAGATCATGGGGGCGAAAGTGTGGACGACTCCGAGGAGGAAGCCCTTGCGTCTTTGACGCGAAGCCGTGGCCTCAACTCGCCCGACATCGACTAAAACCGCACTGCCGCAGGCAACAAAGAGGGCAACAGCTGGCGAAGGACAATGGCGCTGGTGCTTACAATTCGAATCACCTATGGCCCGGCACTCGACCTGATGGTCACAGTGCTGGGGATGGTGAAGGCGAGGAGCAGGATGCTCTGATAGCCGCCCCTTCTTATGAGCCCGACAATTATGAGGGTGAAACATCCGGTGAGCGGTATACAGGTGATCCTCCACCTTGGCTTTTTCGGCCTGTCCAGGATGGAGTGCAGCCTTCCCTTGACCCACGGCACGGCCCCTCGGGAGGCCACGTCCGGACAAATTATGTGAGGGATATCTTCGATGTGCAGGACATCATCACTGAGAAGATTGCGGACTATATGTCAGGGCTGTGGCGAGACTACAACCCTATCGTCATTGAGTTCGCAAAGGCATGCGGTTTAACCTTGCAGGCCGTAGCCCTGTTGGCGCTGAGTATTACTTTGGCGGTTTTCTCCCGAAGGCAGCAATTTGCACCTAAACACCCATGGGTGAGGATCCTGCTAGTGGCAACACTATGGCAGCCAAGTGGAGCAGTGCCTCACCATGGACGAGCCCAAACGACGACAAAGATTTGGCCGGGGTGCCCCAAGCAGACGGAACTAGAATTGTGGGCAAGTGGGCAGCTTACAATTCGTGAGCAGCTCGCTGCCGCGGCTGCCAGAGACATCTATGAGACCCCTCTGTACAGTGGAGGGCGTTATGAAGCGGCTGCTCCCCGGCGACATCCGGCGGAACCAGGAGAAGAACTTCCTGCGGAGCTGGAGGCCGAGGAATGGCACTGGGTTGATGAGGAAGCCGAGCGAACGACGCACATCTCCTTTTGGATATGCACGCCACTGTACGAGCCGATCTCCCTCGACATTGCCCTGGAGTTCCCAATGACTGCGGAAAGAATGTACGAGGCCATCGAGGATTCAGTCTTGGACCTGCCGACTGGTATCCTTGACAGTACGGTGGCGGTTACCCCTCAGGTTGATGAGAACTACGGGAGCGTACTACTCCTACCCAGTTGGGTACACATGTCCGGTCGATGGGCCATTGTGATTGACGCCCGCAATTTCCAATGTGGTATCTTTGGACATTATGTTGATGGGCCCATTAGTGCAAGAATGATCTTGCAGGCCGCCGGCATGGAGCCAGGCGGCCCGACACAAGTTTTTGCCTTTGGCAGCTTGGCGCCCCTGGGGCCAGAAGAGACGGTGCCACCGCAGCAAGGGGGGCTGGTCCGTATAGTCCACACAGGCCAAGTGGTGGAATGGGCCAGTGAGCTGGCAACGAGGCTTGACGACCCGACCAAATGGAACCCGGAGGTCGAACACCCTGAACATAGGGATGGAAGATTTGTCTATATGCAGACAAAAGACAACGAGGCCCTCCACCGTCTTGATCGCAGTGATGCATCAACAGCGATACAAGCGGCAGGCAGGGCCTTTGACCTAGCCCCCGGAACCTACTGGGCAAGGGCGCCGAGCGACAGGCCAGCCAAGCTCTACAAACAAGGCAGGCGCATCCATTCGATCCTTGCAGTGCTTGAAGAGGAAGACTTCGCCCGAGCCGACCACCAACAAGTCGTCTTCCTTGACATGCGAGGCATATGTCTTTGGCCCCAGTGGCTGGTTGTACAACAAGGACGCTTCGAGCCAGGAGTCTACTTGGATGGGGTAGGGGTTCCCTACATCGAAGGCTATTCGCTAGTCGTCAATGGGGGTCGCCGACTACAACAAGCTGGAATGCTTAAGGTCAGGGATGGAGAAACCTTGGAGGTGACTCTGAGGCGCAGCGATGCACTGACCCCATCACCCGAGGCATCCCAAGATGACAGCTCCCATGATGGGGAAGATGAAGACGACGAGTCTGAAGAACGTGATAGGATCCCTAACTCGAGTGACTTCAGCTCCGGCTCTCCACCCAGAGGACCCGGTCCTTACGGACCACCTCCACCACAACCGGTCAGGAGGGAACGCAGCCGCAGCCCTCCGCGAGGAAATGGCCATGCCCTGACCCTTGCGAAGATGGTCCCGGTGCCAGAGTTCGACATGACGTTGGAAAGAATCGAGCTACCTCACGACCCAGCTCTCATGCAAAGGATGTTGAGGACGTGGTCACCATCCTGGATGGATTTTAACATCAAGGACTTGCCGATCAAGGAGACCACTCAGCGGGCTATCGACACCCTGGCACATTGGAGCCAGGTCCTTCTTTGCCAGAGCCCGACAAACCCGCTCGAAGCACAGATCTACACCGATGGCTCCTTCACGGAGACCAAGCAGAGGAGCGGATTTGGCGTCGCTGTTTTCATTAAGTGTGCGGGAATGCTGGCTTTATTCGGGGTGCTTGGAGGGCCAATCCGAGGTGGACAAGAAGTACCATGGGAGGACTGGGAACCACCAGCTTTGTGGGCGGAGCAGGTCGCCGTCGCCACAGGGCTTCTATGGCTGGCGCAGAGCAAGACCTTCATCAATATCGACAAGGCGACAATCTACTTCGACTGCCAAGCGGCGGGATATGCGGCAGAAGGCAAGTGGACAACATGCCTTCCGATGGGACCGAGATTGCACCATCTTGCTGCGTACACCCGAGGCCTCTTCGCTGAACAGCTGCATTACGAGTACACCCAAGCACATGTGGGGCATGCGTGGAATGAGTTGGTGGATGTTGTGGCAAAATGCAGCGCTGCACAATCACATTGGATCCCGCTTCCCCCCTACAACAATTGTGTGGCTTTTCTTACAGCTGATCTCAGTTGGATTGCTACAGTCGCATATAGCCACCACCAAAAGGCGATGCCAATTGATGCTGGAAGGTGGCTAAACATGCCGCAAGCGTGGACACCAGGGCCAAGCCCCCTGGAGCCACAGGATTTGGTGCCTGTGGTGTACCACAAACCGGCCAATGCGGACACGGGGGTCAACATCGAGATGCAGGTGATCTCTGTCAACCTCCAGGGCTTCCGCGGACAGCACCACTACCTGGAGACGCAGCTCTTTGCCAAAGGCTGCAACATCCTCTGCTTCCAAGAGACAAAGGAGGACGGCGGTACGACACGCAGCTCCAAGTACCTCAGATTTGGCACCAAGGCCCATCGTCATTGGGGATGTGCCATCTGGCTCAACCGGCAGATGGGAGCCTTCAATGTCAACGGAAGCCCGCTTGTCATAGCGGAGGAGGACGTTAGCGTCGCCTACGATGACGCCAGGATGCTGGTTTTGGACATCCACAAAGGAACATTTCGGGCTGTAATCTTCTCGGGCCATGCGCCGCATGACGCGCGTAGCCCTGATCGAACAGCCTTCTTCAAGAGAATGGTCGAGGTGATTGGAAGACGACGCGGTGCTCATGTGATCATTGGTGGAATTGACGGCAATGGAAGGCCCGACCCGAATGTCGAAGGAACTACGGGGCAACGATGTTTCGGTGAGCCCGATGAAGCAGGTCGACAGCTACAGGCAGCAGCTGCCGCTTGTGGGCTTTGGCTTCCGGCCACCTACGAGCACATACACACGGGCCAGGATGCTACCTTCTGCCACCCGGGAGGACAGCTGCACCGAATCGACTTCTTGATGATCGGTGGTAGGATGGTCACGATCGATGCTAAAAGCTCGGTGGCTATCGATGTGGATCTGGCGGCGACCAGAGATGACCATTTCGTAGTGGAGCTCAAAGCCAAAGGCCAAGTTCAGGATGCCCCGGCTGGACGAAGGCTATGGAGGCCCCGATATGATCGTGACAAGATGTGCACGCCAGAGGGCAAGGAGATCATCAGAAATGCTCTCCTGCAATACCAACTACCCCCTTGGTGGGCACACGTGGACGAGCACTGCAAGCACTTCCAGGATTACCTGACGGCGACCCTGGAAGCGAACTTTGCAGTCCCAAAGGCGGGTCCGAGAGCCACCTATATCCCAGCAGTGATTTGGGAATGGAGAGGCAAAAAGCTTGCGCTGAAACAAAGAACTGCGCACTACAGGCAGCAGTGGCGGGCATTTCTGCTCCTGGCATTCCAACGGTGGGCTGGCCATGGGAATGACCTCGTTGCTGAGACGATTGCCAAAGGGACGCTCCTTTACCAGGTGATGGCCGGGGCTATCACCTTCATCACGACAAAGATAAAGGCCGGCATCCGTGAAGCCAAGAACGGCTATCTACAAAATGTGGTGAAGGAGGGGCTCCCGCACGCCACCAAGATCCTGCAGACCGTGAAACGTCGTGGGCTGGGGGGCAAACAAGCTCATCGTGCTAAGCAGCCCCTACCAGAGCTCAGGAACAAAGAGGGTCGGAAGGTTCGAAGCCAGGAGGAGAGAGACGCCCTCTGGCTACAGCACTTTGGCGAGCAGGAGTACGGGAACGCAGTTGAAGTCAGCCAACTACTGGAGCAGCGGGATGTCGCTGCCAAACTTAGAGTCGAGGTGCAGTGGAGAATCGAGGACATCCCCACTGTCGATGAAATCGCACAAGCCCTGCGCGGGATACGGCGCAACAAATCTGCAGGGTTGGATGGAATCCCTGGAGAAGCTCTACAATCCTGCCCGGATGTTTGTGCGATGAAGCTGCACCCCCTCTTTGTCAAGGCACTATGTGGTCTCCAACAGCCCATCCAGTGGAGGGGTGGGATCCTGTTTTCAGCATACAAGCAGAGCGGAGCTGCCGATTGCACCGAGAACTACAGATCACTGTATGTGTCGAGTATGATAGGCAAAGCATACCACCAAGTCTTGCGCCGCAAGACACAACTGCAGCTTCAGAATGTGCTGCATGAGCTCCACCTAGGCAGCCGGCGGAAATCCCCTATCGCCTTTGCCTCGCTCTTCCTTTTCAGCCACATGAGACGAGGACTTCGAGAGGGCACTTCATGCGGAGCAGTCTTCTTAGACACCAGATCAGCCTACTATCGGGTTCTAAGAGAGCTGACCCTGGGTGAGATATGCCATGACGAGACGGTTGCGAGATTAATGAGACGCTTCAATTTCCCTCCGGATGAGATGCACACCATCCTCGAGACCATCAAGGCTGGAGGCATCATGAATGATGCAGGGGTGTCCTCGGGGCTCCTTGCGGGCATCCGCGATGTGTATCATCGCACGTGGTTCGCCACGCAACACGCGACGGGCGACTACGTGGGCTCTTCTATGGCTGGCAGTCGCCCCGGAGCGAGTTTCGCAGACGTCATCTTTGCGTACCTCTACTCCAGAATACTGGCAGCCATTTCAGAAGAAATGAGGGGCACCGAGTTGTGCTCCTATGCACACTACGACCCCAGCGCGGGGCTTTTCAGCACTGGGCAGCAGGGCATGGAGGTGGCCCTGCGGGACGCGACATGGGCAGACGACAGTGCCTTCCCTTTTGATGACGTATGTCCACGCCGGTGCCTGGAGAAAGCAAAGAAGATAAGCGAGCTTGTCTTAGACTCCTGCAGATCAAGAGGGTTGGAGCCAAACCTTAAAAAAGGAAAAACCATGTTGTTATTGGCCTTGAGAGGAAAGGGCTCCGACAAGGCCCGCCGGGAGTTTTTCAGCCACGGTGACCCAGCACTACGGTTAGAGGAAACTGGCGATGCCATCCAGCTGACCCCCCACTACGTCCACCTGGGAGGAGCTCTGGATGCCAAGGTCAACATGAAGGTTGAAATGCGTAGAAGGCTCGCGATTGCGCAATCTACCTACAATCAGGGGAAGAAGTTGCTCTATCAGAACAGCACCATCCCCCTCCAGACACGAACCCAGCTCTTCGAGATGTCGATTCTGGCGGGAATGTTCAATTTGAGCATCTGGATACCAACCGGCCCCGCTTGGACCAGCTTGTGCGAGGGGTATACTCGTATCCTCCGCAACACGCTCATTCCACAATATGGTGCGGCGGAGCTCTACAAAATGCCCCTTGCCTTTGTGCACGCAATCACTGGCAGATGGAGGCTGGAACTGCACGCAACAAAGCAGAGAATGGGCCTACTATGCTCGATGGTGAACAATGGGCCAGAGGCACTGTGGGCCATCCTTCAGGCCGAACAAACATGGATGAAGGCGGTGCGTGAAGACTTGCGAAACCTCACTCAAGGCGAGGACGGCGCTGCCGGCCAATGGCCGGGCCATTCAGTCGAAGACTGGCCTACTTGGTGGCACCGACTATGCGAGAGCCCGAAGAAGTTCAAGGCACAGGTCAAACGAATGCTGCAGAAGCGGCATGAAAAGATCTATGCGGAAGACATTGTCCAAATTGGACTGTGGGCCATGTACCGCCAAGCCTGTGAAAGACTGCCCCAGCTCAGTCAACAACCTCCACAGTGGTACTGTCGAATGTGTGACAAGTACTTCAGAACCAAAGGAGGTCTTGGAGCACATGCCTTCAAGGTACATGGTAGGACCGCGAGGTACCGACTTTGTATCACTGGAACGTCCTGCGCAGCCTGTGGCAGGCAATACTGGAGTTCCTCCCGGCTATCGACACACCTACGGGACAATCCGGACTGCGTTGCAGCGCTAAGGAACTCCGGAAAGGTGCGAAGCGTTCCGCCGCCAGGGGCCGGAAGTAAGGAGCGCCGAAAGATCGACTTTGAGGAGTACACACTGGCACCAACAACGGTGGCAAGCCGAGATGTCCACGGCAACGCTGAGGAAGACTGGGCAGAGCAAGCGACCGAGGCTTACAAAAACCTCAGCCACAGTCTTCTGGAGAAGGACGTGTGGACCGATGGCGAGATCATCGAGCTCTCCACAGACACCCTGGGTGCCTACCCTTTGTACCCCTCCGAAGAGGCGGACATCATCGAGCGCATCCTTGCGGACATTGAGCTACTACGTGCAGACGACGACACCTACCCATGGAAGCCGAGCACGTTTGCAGAGCTCATCAGGACTTTCACCAGGAAAGAGGGATGGTTGCGAGGTCTACATGGTGCGGCGAGCACCAGGCCGGAAAGCCAAACCTTCAAAGACTTCGCCGACAACCTCGCGGCGATTGACTGGAACATGATTGTCCACGAGTGCGGTGTTGAAAGCGTGACCCACAATCTTTTTCCCCTACAACTGGAAGCATTCTGGGAAGCTGCGGAGAATGCTTCAAGTGGAGAACGGGCGACTGCAGCCGCTGTAAAAACACCTCTTTTCTTTGTCCCGAAAGCGGTACAGAGGGGCTGGGAGCTGGTCGTTAAAGGATCGATTTCAGCGGTTACGGCCCCAGATGACTTTTGGGATAGCCCTTTTTCAGCGCCTTTTCTACCGCTGAGGGCTTCGTGCATCGATAATTAGTGCTGCGCACACCACTGAACGCCTCGAAATGAAATGAAATGTATATATATATATATATACACACACCTCGGTATGCACATATTGCAAGTGCTTGGGGTTATTTGTTGCCGAGCTACTTCAAAGACGCGGCCAAAAGACTCATGACTGAGGTCGGATCACGAATCGCCTGTCGCGAGACTTCGGGGACCAGGTTGCCACTACGTGAGGAGAGCTTTTCAACGCGAGCAGAGGGTGAGGGACCCGGCACAGGTGCTGGAATCGTTGTTGGACCGCTGCTTTTCTTTTCGCGAGACTGACAAGGTTCGCAGTTGCACAGCAGATTGAATCGATAAGAAGCCATAGATGTTGGGGTTGCGTTTGCTGGAAGAGGCTTGGCATGGTGGCTGCTTGGCGTTGGCTTGGGGCTGAGACGACTCCCAAGCGCCAGCGTCGTTGGTCGGTCGGGAGAGACGAGCCGAAGAGCCGAGGCCGAGCTGACGCGGCGAGGGCTGCTTTTGCCCGAGCGCCTGCCGACGGTGATCCCTTTGATTTGCCAGGCGACGGGCCTAAGGTGTCGTGCTCCAAAGGGCCCTGCGGCTCTGGAAGGCGCTCCACTTCGAGCAGGTGTCTGGCAACCATGCGGTTGGTTGGGGCCTGAGATTGTTTCAAACCCCATGAGTCCATGTAAGGAAGTGCGAACGTCGGAGTTGCAGGGTCGTTATTTAAGGGTGATATGCAGCAAACCAGCCGAGGTCAGCATGTGCGGGATGCTGCGTGTTATGCCTGCGTCACAGTGATCTCCCATCGTTTCAAGCCAAGAGTTTAGCCGCAGTGCCATGGTGTTGACTCATGTAAAGCGTCACCACAGGTGTGTTGGGCCTTCGCTCGCGCCTACGCGCCGGATGTACTCCAACCATACGTAGAAGACCTGGCGAAAGCTCTCATCCAGGCACGTTCGGCCGTGCAGTTCAAGCCCACTGGGCCCTTAGGTTTGTTGTTGCAGTGCGCCAGAGATGCGGGGCCCTGTTGGGGGTTTGTCATTTAGGGTTTAGGGTAAAGGGCTGGGAGTTAGGAGTTGAGGAGTTCGGCCGAAAGCACCTTGCCTGGAGGTCTGCTGCAGATCGGAAGCCGTCCTGAAGTTACATCAAATTCGGCGAACATGTGTTGCTTGACAGGTAGCGGTTTACGACCGCGAAATCAACTGCCGGTGGCTGCCTTGCCTCCAACGACGAGCACCGCTAGTGCATGTGAGTCGGTTGATGTATCAAAGGCGCGCTGCAGCTGCTGCCGTGCAGGAGCTTGGCCGTGCTGCTTTAGTCTTGCAGTTTTTACGAAGGATGGCACCCAGATGTCTGACTGGCTCCTTTTTCCGCAAGACGAGGAAAATGTCGGCCGACAGGGCACATTTCCAGACGGCATTGAAGTTGCCACTCGGCCCCAGCTCAGATGCTATCCTCTAACTGAGGGTGTGAGGAGGGGCTGGGTCAGCATCACAAATCGCTTGGACAGGTCACCATCGCCGACTACTGGACCTTGTCTGGCCGGCGGCACGCGCACCTCGACGATGGCCTTGAATTTGAGGAAACCCCAGTTCAGATGCACAAGATGATATGGCAAACAAAGCACATGCTGCTTGTGCATTTGTCTTGAGTCAGTTCCACGATAAACACTCCTTCACTTCTTTGAGGTTGCTGTGATACCTGTTATCACTCGATCTCCGGTCAGGATTCGGCATTTGTTCTTCTGACTCTGCCTGCGTGCAGCGATATCTGCTTGGTGTTTAGTTTTGTTTAGTGAGTGTGCACGTTCGATCCTGTGGTACTTTCTGCATCGGCCTGCCCAGGTATCTCGAGGTCGCGCCAAAGATCGCCGGCCTCGGGAACGGCGGATACAGGCTGTGTGTGCCCTGCGTTCCCAGCTTGCGCTCAGAAGCAACCCGGGAAGGAAAGCCCTGATCGAGCACCTGGTGAGCCGAAAGCTGGTACACCAGGCCCATAAGTGGTGAGAGCGGAGGGACGGAGAGAGGCCCCGTCTCGTCCACTCCTTTTTGGCTTTGCGATCCCGCGTTGATTTGTGCCTGCGACCACTGAGCTCGTCACGATCGTCTGCTCTGGTCGCCATCCTTCGCATCAGAGGCCTTCTTTGCCCGCCACCTTCGCGCGCCCATCTCCTCCGCAGTAGTTAGCTCCGTCGGTTCAGCGGGAAGAGCCCGTGTGCTTTGCCCGACGTTGCGGTCGCTTCGCCTGCTGCCTCCTCGAAGCGGAAGCGACTCTCTCGGCGACTCTCTCGTTTACTCTTTTGAGTGAGGACCTGCAGATCCGGATGCTGGGGGCCAAGGGCCTGGCGTGCTTGGCGTGCAGTGAGCCTGGGCCCTGAATGGGTCCTGTCTTGTTTCAGTGCACTCAACAGCTCTCGAGAACCGAGGCCTGAAATTGTGGGCTTCCTGAACACGGCCGATTTCACAGCACTCGCCTGTCGCCTAGGCCTAGGCCTTGTGGAGCCCAGCTCAGGTGGTGATCCCCAGCCTTGTGGAGCGCTCCACATCCGAGCAGTCAAGCCCGAGACCCGGTGCAGACACCTGCAAGTGCCTTCAAGCCACGTATTCGTAGTTGGCAACAAGACGGCTGAGCTGCTGCAGGATTGTCTCGCATCAGAGGCCGCTGCTGATGACAGCGCAGCTTTCTCGGCTCCAATCCAGACAGCAACCCTCCGGCACACCTTATGGACACGGCTCCCCCGCGCCACGATCATGATAGATCTAGAGGTCGCTCTGGTCGGCATGCGTTGTCCAACCCAGTCTGGTGAAGCAGATCCCTGACCCATCATCCAACTTTCCACTTCATTCGGTGGTACTTGTCGGGTGCAGCGGAAACGACCTTCCAAGTAGGGTGCTCTGCTTGCGGTTTCGCGGTGGCGGCTGCCCCGGCTGCGGAGAGGCGTTTGTGGGACTGAGCGTAGGATTACGCAGGCAGTGACCGACAGAAGGGGTTGTGATTGCCGCTGCCTGTCAGAGAACCGTTGAGCATTTTGCCTGTGGCATCCTGTGACTGTCCGAGGGTGCATGACGTGGCCGCCCAGTGATGCGGAGCCACAGGACCGGGCTGTCCACTGCTGGTACTGCTACGATTTCACGATGTTTGGCGCTGAGATCTGCTGTTAGATGGCCGCTGTGGTCCAGCCAGTTCCGTGTGAGCTGCAGGAGCAAGAGGAGTCGACGGCAATTCGGCGACAGTGGCTCGGCACATTTGATTGCACAGTGTGTCACGCCGATTCCTAATCCCTGGCATCTGCCTTTGCTCGTGTCTGTACCTCAAGAAGCTTGAAGATCAGTCCAGGAATCTCCATCACGGCTGCCCCTCACCAAAGCGGCCACGCACTGCCCCTCCATCGAGGCATCACGGGCCACGGGTGTCATGTTCCCAAAATTACCGGGGAAGTGGAATGCCTCTAGCACTCGGTGGGGGCTCGGGGGGACAGCGGATGCGCGCAGATTCAGTTGCAAGGCTAGTGAATGCCGGGGCATTGGTACTGGACGGCTGCCGCTGAACTTCGTTGCTTGGGGTTCAGGGCTGGCTCCCCGACAGTTCGAGGGCAACTTCAAGTTGCCCTGTTCCCTGCGGCCACCCGAACCAGGAGTCCGACACCCGAACGGCGACAGCAGGCCCTGTTTGCAAACGCTCTTTTCATTTTCAAGCTTCGCCACATCCAAGCGGAAAGTCTGACGCTTCTTTGCATGCCTTGGGATTTCAATCCTTGAAAGCCGTATTAAAAGGGCTACCGGGTCTCCGACGTGGTGGAGCTGCGGGAGACGACTTCCTGCTTGCAGAGCGACACCCTCGCCGACGCCTGTAAGAAGCTCTGCCAATCCGGGCGCACGGCAGTGGTGGTGCTCACCAGCACGCAGCCAGACATAAAGTTTGGAGGGGACGCGTACCGTTCAATGCCACTCTTTTTGCTTTCCTTCGTGCGCCTTTGTCTTCCTTGCAATGCACTTCCGAGAATCCCCTTTGTCCTTGAATTGCATGTCCCGGTTTGCGACAGTGTGCTAGCTTCTCGTGATATATGGCTGCTCACAGTAATGTCGGAAAACATTGCATCCCCTTTTTTGTTGAGGGATATTTCCATCTTTTCGACACTTGGAATTCATACGCCCGCACTTTCCGTAAATCAGCGATGCAGCCCAGGAGCGGTGAAGTCCATGGAGTGCTTACAGAAAACGACATCCTACAAGCGAGCCGTGGCAAGAACAGGAGCTTTCCCAGTGTGGTGATCTGTGGTTCAGAAGCAAAGATCTTGCAGCCGTCAACACACGGGTCTTGCGGCCCCTGCATCGTGTCCGATCTTTGGATTCCGTTTGCATGTGCGACCGCAACCGTGCTTTCAAGGATCGTCGAAGGTGTTGAGTGGGAACAACCTCTCGAAAGATGGTGCGCCTCTCAAAAACAACATGAATTGTTCTCTTTACGGGCAGGGTTGGTGGCCTCGTGTAGGCTAAAAGACGGACCAGCCCGGCTTCCCGGGTTTTTGGTACCTCCCATGACGCTGCAAGCCGGGACTCCTCTCGTGGAGGCGGGTAAGAATCACGGGCACAGGGACAAGAGCCAGAAAGCGGAATGCACCGAGGCCGCCAAGCTGATGTCGGAGCAGTCCGGCAGCAAGTTCTCCTGCCACCATTTGCTGGTCCAGGTCCCAGGTGGCCACTGGGCAAGAACAGCTGCAAGTGCGATGTTTTTGCAACGGCCTCCCATTAACCATATATAGAGGCCAGTTGGATGCCTCTGGACGGCCTTTGAAAGCCCGGCTCCTTTCCGCCCTTGACATTGCCAATGGCATGCTCGAGGCGGAATGATGGGGAATTCGTTGCAGCATTTGTCGCAAACTGCTACACCAGAATTATTTAAGATATTTCACGGACTTTGTCAGATGTTCAGAGTTGCCTGCACCGAGCCTATCTTGTGAGAGGCTTCGAAATCATCAGTGGCAGCAGAGAAAGCTTTGGCTCTTTCCGTCAAGCACCGCGGCAAGGGTTTGTATTCCTGTTAACACAAAGCAGGGTTCAGAGCAGATGAGGCACGTCATGAAGCCGCGGACATCTGTACCTACATGCACTTCCACGCAGAATTTGTCGGAGGCAGGCTTGGTTCACTCAGCAACGTGCCGGTGTTATTTTCGGCGATCTGAAGCACGCGCCAGCTGGAAACCGCCACCCGGACTCCTCCCCTTTGGGCAGGCGTTTCGCCTCCTGTCTGGATCGCAGCAGAACTGCGTCCTGGTGAACGACGAGAAGAATGAGGACGATGAGGCTGGCATCCGGCTTCCTGAGCGGGAGGCTTCAAGCAGGGTGGGACGTTAGCAACTCCGAGCAGCCCCATCGTCTTCGGCGTTGGCAAAAGTCAACGTTGTTCGAAAAGAGCCCAGCAATCTAAGGCTGGCCAGGAAGAGCAGCCAGACAAAGACTCCACGAAGGGTGCTCCTCGATCGACCTATCAGTGGTGTGCAGGAGGTGGTCGTGCACCAATGGGTACCATGCAAAGCTGCAGAGTCCTTCCAGGTAGTTACACCTGTGGATGCATTGCTGGCTTTCTCGGAGAAGATCTCTGGAGAGAGTCGGACACTGCTGCATTGAGTACTGTAGGGCTTTTGCATATGCTCGATCGTGGCAGGGACAGCGAGTGTGCGAGCAATTGCGGGTACAGCAGCTTGTAGATCTTGGCACACGCTTAGATTTTCAGCCTTAGCGGGTCTAAAGAAGTAGTCGGTAGGCGCATGACACAATCCCAAAGCTCACGAGGATACTTCGAGACTGGGTTTGCGGGGTCAATGGCATGCCGGCAACGTCGGAGCGCTTTGCTTCTCGGCAAACTGTCCGATAGAGCCACCGTGGCGGTTGCTGAATAGTCGTCCAAGTTTTCCCATCTCGCTGCCAGACGCATCCTGGAAGCATGTGTTCAATCTTCGCTGTCCGTATCCTTCGTCATTGTTGTCCACTTGTATCGCGGCATTCCCGGTGTTACACCCGGGGATCCAAACGCTCACAAATGAGCGTCCAAATCATGGAAACCGCTGAGGGAGCTCTGCCGAATTTCCAGCAGGGTGGTGTAGAGGAGCTTCAAATTCATAGCCTCAGACTCGAGCAACTCGACGAACAGTCACTGCACTGCTCCAGCTCCCAACCTTCCATGATCCTGCAGCATGTCCAAACTTTCACGAGTCGTCGAGGTTGAAGAATCCACGTCCTTGGCATCTGCAGCCTCGACGATGGCTTTCTCGGGACAGCACCACCTACTCGTGGTGGCTCGGCTAGGACGGCTTTCTGGCTTTCTGTCGCCCTTTCCGATCGTCGATTCTGTCACTCAGCGAGTTCTTTCAGTGATTCGGCCTGTGCGCTCGCAACTTTCAGCTTCCGTTCGTGCACTCAATCTATTCTTCTGGTACTTTGCGGTTTGGCCAAGGTGCAGGCCCAAAGCTCTCGCGTCCTTGGCGTAGTATCCGCGCTGGACATCGTGCGTGCGCTGAGCAGCCGGGCCGCAAAAGGGGTGCGGGTGTCGCCAATCACCATGAACTTGTCTGTTCCCAATGGGAGGAATACCAGGGTTTCTGAGCATGATATCTGGGTCTTGGCTTGTAGTGCCTTGAGCCAGGAAGACTTGGCATTTGCAGTGCGTGAACCGGCACCGAAGTGGTCTCCGGCCACCTAAGGTCGCTTGTTTCACGTGAGTGAGGCGTAAGTTGTGTATCGTGCCGGCTGCGGCCCAGCAAATGGCCCAGGCCGAGGCGATGTCCCGGGTCGCAATGTGCCATAAGACGAGAGCAACACCAATGGCCAAAGCTTCACATTCCTCTTGCTGCTCTGCCCGGGACTTCCCGACATGGCCACACGTGCTTCCTGCACCTTTCGGTCCCGAGAGGAAAATCCGTGCGCACCCACTCAGACTTTGATCAGAACTGCTCCACGAGAGTTCCGACCAGGTGCAGCGGCTGCGCCTGGTGCGGGTTCGGTGCAGAGAATCACACGGGCTCAGGGTTTTCAGTGCTTTGCCCTCCGTGACTTCAATGTGGGTAAAGCTCAAGCATCCCATGGCGTAGGTTGGGTTATGGACCGGCATGTCCAGAGGATGTTGAGCGAGCCAAGATGTCGTTTGTTGTGATGTCTTCTGCTGTGGGGGCATGGGCCGCTTTGCACTTGAAGGTACATGCAGAACTGGGGAGTTTGGTTGTTTGGTTGTGAGTTTTCCGGTACTTGCTGCTTAGGGTTTCGAGGTTCAAGATCTTCGGACTGAAAGGAGCAATGATAAGGATGAAGGTCTGCAGTGCCGTCCTGAGAATAGCCAGGCGTCGCCATTTCAGCCTGCTAACATTGTGCATTTCCTTGAACTTCACTGCTTGCAACTCCAGAGAGGTCCAACCGCCGGCACCGTTCAGGCCAAGACGGACCGGATTTCTGCTTCGGATGTAACTTGATGTCACCACATGATCTATTCTAGTGTACCGGTCGCTCGACACCATTGAAGCCCTGCAGTCAGAACGCCTGGGAGGCACGGCACGGTGCCGTTGAAGCCGTGGCTTCGCTGGTTGAGGTTCTGCAGGCTCGGCCGGCTGCATGCTGGGGGTTCAAGGCGAACGCAGACGTGTTTGCAATTTTTCGGGGATCGGTGGAGGCGGAATCACGCCAGCATAGGACTAGGCAAGCAAGAAAAGAGAGCTTCTGATGTAGGGTTCTACATGTCAGCTGCCCAGCTGATTTCGTGGCTTGGTCCGGTTTTGCTGCCATCTGCTTGTGGAGGATAAAGTCACAGCCGAGAACCAGACAGCCATTCGAAATTTAGTCGCGGACTTACTCTCTCAAGTCTTGAGAGCCCTTTAGTCGCTCCACAGTGATGAGCTCTAAATGCAGAGGTCACTGCATGACGTGGCCTTTTTTTGCACTCGCATCGCGTGAGGTCCCCGCCCTGGAGAAGGCACGCGCCTACCGGGGTCGCGGAGGTGAGGTCGTCCGCCAGGCCAGTCGCGGGAGGGTCTGCCGGAGTGGATCGGAGGGGTTGAGTGATGTTGGAAACTTTGGAAGGCACTCACCAGCCTCTCTCTGTGCAGTCGCAGATGTTAAGCGGGAGGCCGCTTGTCGATTGCTGCAGAAGATTGCGGCAACCCCTTGGCCTTTCAAAGATGCCACGGCGGCAGGGCCCCTAGCAAGAACAGTAGTAGTGTGCCAGTTGCAGCCCCGAGTGATGACTTGCCAGGTACGATATCTTCAAACCGTCGACGAGTCACGGGCTGAACTCTTCGAAGTGGTGAGAGATGGGGCACATGTGCTGCACTTCGGGATACGTAGCCGTGCTAGCACGCAGTGCACGACGCCGGGAAAGGCATCAGCAGAAGCTCAGAAACTGGAAAGAGTAGGGTTGTGCATTTCCAAGAGAAGCGCCCTTTATCTCCTGTGGCCGGGTCGATTCAACGACTGCCCAGGTGCGCACGCCACACGACCGAGGCTGGCAATGCCCCAACAGCTTTCCAAGACGCTGACTTTACGGCCTGGTCCATGGCAGGCTATCAGGGTTGTGGCCGCCGAAGCTTTGGGCGTCCTGGCAGCGAAGAGGCAGGGGCCTCCACCCTTCTAGCAGCATGTGATCGATGAGGCTGAATATCACGGCCAGGTTCAAACCGGAACTGTGCACCAAATGCGTTCCGGTCTCGGAACAGTGGCATGCGCTCAAGAGAGATCGGCAATGTAGAATCGAATGCAGTCCACGTCTGCGACTCGTTCTTGCTAGTGGGGTAGTAGTAGTGGTGGTGGTAGCAGTAGCAGTAGCAGTAGCAGTAGCAGTAGCAGTAGCAGTAGCAGTAGCAGTAGCAGCAGCAGTCGCGGCAGCAGCAGCAGCAGCAGCAGCAGCAGCAGCTGCTGCAGCTGCAGCTGCAGCTGCAGCTGCAGCTGTAGGTGCAGCTGTAGGTGCAGCTGCAGCAGCTGCAGCAGCTGCAGCAGCCGCAGCAGCCGTAGCAGCCGCAGCAGCCGTAGCAGCCGTAGCAGTAGCAGTAGCAATAGCAGTAGCATTTGCAGTAGCAGCAGCAGTAACAGTAGCGGCAGGAATGGCAGCAGCAGTAGCCGTAGCAGTAGCCGTAGCAGTAGCAGTTGCAGACGTCGCCGTCGTGGTTTCAATAGCTGAAGGTTGAAGTAATCGTGGTAGTGGTGGTAGTAACAACTGCGGTAGAACTACCGGAACAGATTGTAGCGGTGGTAGTACTTCGCCGGAGATTTGTCTCATTGACACCGGCGGTGATATGGTTGTAGTTTTGAGTGGCGACCTGAAACATACGTACCTTGGACAGAAGCTTCGCGTCGAACTTCGACGCCAGTTTGTAACCGAGTTGGCACATCACACCAGTGTGGGGGGGGCACGTTCCATAAGTTGAGGTTCGTGATTTTGTGAAGGAGCCGTTGTCAATCAAACGAAGACTGAGATTTTGAACAGAAAACGTTACGATGCATGGTTGGATGGTGTCGCGACGCGGGTGAAAGTTGGCAGAAAACAATGTGACGCAAGAATCCTCGGTATCGGCTGCTCTCCAACAACATGAACTTCATGCAATTACTACGCCACCCACCCTTGCCCTGTGTCCTGCGAGGATCCTAGTCTTCGAGACTCGAACGGACAAAAGAAAGTGCGATGTGCAAGGATTTGTTGCTGGTCCATCAGTCCATCATGGGAGCACTTCACCAGCGATAATCATTGGTGACAATCGCCGAATGCTTCCGGCTGGAATCAAAAAACACGAAACTGGTGTATGCAAACGCAAAAAGCAAGCAAAACTGCATGTGTGCTTGTCAAAGACATGAAAACACCCACCATGCCGATTCAAAGCTACAGATGCAAGAGCAGCAGGAGCAGCGTTTGCCAGTTGCGAAGGCCGCCGTATTCCCAGATGTCAGACTTGGCAGTCCGAATGTCCCGCAGCTGCGGCAACATCGGCGGTTTGTCGAAACCATGCTGAATCGTACCGGTCTATTGCCGACCACGCACCATGTCGCACAATAGTGCCGGACGGTCGCATCCCCAGCAAGAGCACGAGCCCATTCAACCAGCAGACGACGATGATGATGATAATGATGATTAATAAAGATGATACTGATGATAAGGGTGGGTATGATGATAATGATGATGATGATGAAAGTGAGGATGGTGATGATGACGAGAATGATGATGATGATCATGATGTTGAACAGTGGTTGCAGTTGCCGACCTGTTGGAGCTGCTGCAGCTTCTGCTGGTCTTGCTGCAGGTGTTGTTGCTGCTGCCGGTGTTGTTTCTGCTCACGATGTTGGTGATGTTGCTGCTGCTGCTGCTGCTGCTGCTGCTGCTGCTGCTGCTGCCGCTGCTGCTGCTGATACCGTTGTTGGTTGCTGGTGATGGTGGCAGCTTTACCAATGCCATTCGACGAAAACACCATTCCTGCCACTGTTTACGGCACTTCCGTCCTGAGACTTCTGTGAACTCTTCGACCACAGCTTGATATTGTTGTTATTGCTGCTTCCAATGCTGTTCCTGTTCCTGTTGCTGATCCTGCTCATGTTCCTGTTGCTATTGCTGTTGCTGCTTCTGCTGCTGTTGCTGTTCCTGTTGCTGATCCTGTTGCTGTTGCTGGTGCTATTGCTGCCGCTGTTGTTGCTGTATAAAACTTGTGCCAATACTGCCGGGGTTGTGTGTGTGTTGGTTGTGGCTGCAGTTCCACTGTTGTACGAATGCTGCTGTAGGCTGCTGCTGTCGTACTCGCTGCTGCATGCTGTCGTTGTTTCCTGTCGTTCTCGCAGTGGCCCACTGAGGCCCCTAAACCCTAATCCCTGAGCCACTGGTGGTGTCCTTGATGCTACTGCTTTCGTTCATGGGCTCGAGCTCCCGAGCTTGCTGTTGCGCACGTTCTCGCTGGTGTGCAGTTGGCATGCAGCGCCCTAATATGGGCTTTACCCTACTTAAAACCCTGCTTAGAACTACCCATGAACCTCCGAGTAGTAGGAGCTCAACTCAACGTACCGCGCACCCATAGCCAGTCTCGGGCCATCACCCGCCGTAGAACTCTCCGGCGTGGATGTGCATCGACCGTCAAATCTTTCGGACCAGCCCCGGGGTGACGATGTGAGTTCTGCGCGTGTTCGTGATCATTGCGGCAGGAGCTGCGCGCGTCGTACGGAGAACGTCGCTTCAGCTGCTGGGGTAAGGCGCTTTGTCGTCCACCAGGACACGCCGAATTGGAGGTTGGGCGCTGGCTCAGAAGGAAAGTTTGCCATCCTATCAACGAAGCCCAGGCCCAGAAGCACTTGTGCCTGCGGCGCTTTACCTCACGACGGGTTTTGAGAACACAGTGGACTCGGGTACTCTGGCACACGTCTCGTGCCTGAACCGCGCGTCGACGTCCACCGCAGGAGCCGCACAGAACAGCGCTCCACGTCTGCACGTCTGCAGAAGCTCTCGGCTGAAGATCGGACAACAGAAGCCGAAGTCACGGGACGTGGCGACTCCTGTTTCAAAACGGAGAAAGAGCAGAACCGCGAGAGTGCGGGAGGCTTCTATGGCGGCAGTGACACAGCTGCGCCCGTTTCCTGCAGAGCAGCCAGAAGCAGAAGCACCGTGAACAAGACGTACACAGACTACCAGAAATATCGAAGTCGTCTTCAACAAAGGCCTGATCGCTCTCGCCAGCTTGAGTTGACAAAGCTGGCGTGAACGAGGGCGATTTGGGAACGGACCCAACGCCGCAAAACACGCCACTTTCAGGCTGTACTACCTTCAACCCCACATCCCAAAAAAAACCCTAAACCTCAAACCGCAAAACCCGAAACCCCTGTAACCCTAAGCCACTCCTAGACTAGTTGGTCTCTCGCCTTGCTGAAGGCCCACCCCCGGCCGTCGTCGAGCTCTAAGAAAAGAGTACCGTCGTGGAGCCGCTCTCCACAACAGCGGAACCTCAGGGACGTTCGCTTTAGGGTTTAGGGTTTCGGGTTTAGGGTCGCTTAAGCAGTTCTTCAAACGGGCTTACTTGGAGGCCCACTTAGTAAGTCGGTTAGAAGTAGGGTTATAATTGGGGTAACTCCCTTTAGGGTTATAACTCTACTTATAACCTACTTACTAAGTCCCCTGGGCCTACAAGTAGGGTTTACGGATTGGGGTTTAGGGTTCAGCTAAGAGGCTAGGAGTTTGGGGGCTTTTGGTGAGCCGGCCGGCTAGTCGAGGGACATCCCTTGTCATAACAGATTTCACGCGGACCTCAACTCAATTCTGGAAAGTCCCTGAACCCTAAACACTGGCCCTAGAACGAGCATTTTTCCCACAAGCTCCGTCCCGAATGAAGCCCACATCGCTGGACTTGCGGGGGAAGTCTCCTTCACTAGCCTTCAGGGTCTGGCTAGTTATGACAAAGGCGAAGATGCAACTCTGTTGGAAAATACAAAGTACTTAGTGCATGAAAAGAAACAACAAAGACAACGAAAGACAAACTAAACCAACAATTTCCAAATAACAAAAGAAAAGCACACGACATGCGAGCACTGCACCCGGGCAACAAGCGAAAAAATTACAACGAACCCACCATAACAAAATTACAAAGAACCCACCACAACAAAAAAAAATGCGCCCGAGGCTTGCTTTGTTGGATAGTCTTTCTGTCGTGTTGGATGTGCGCTTACGCGTGTTCATTTGCTTTTGTTCGTTTTCCAGTAAAAGATAGCTTAAGTACGATACGTTTTCCAGTAAAAGAAAGCTTAAATACGAGACAATAAAACCCAGCGAGCAAAAGCAGCAACGACGACACAAAAAAACAACGGTGTCTGCCCTACCCCGCCCCCCCCCACC